CACACACACACACACACACACACACACACACACACACACACACACATGAACAACACATGCGAACTTGCGCAGTTGGCAGAAGAAGGAGAAGAGGGAGAAGGAGAAGGAGAAGGAGAAGAAGAAGACGTGTGCACAGCAGGGCTAAGGTGCTGGGGATGAGTTTGCTTACCGCCTTTTTTTGGTTCGCAAGAATGAAAATTGCATTATGGAGAATTGCTTTAACTTCTTTAAACGTATGGCAATTAAGTGAATTGCCATTTTGAAAGAAGATGGGAAGGACTGACCACCAAATGACCTATAAAAATCTGCATAACTCATTGTGCTTTAAATCCATTTTGGCGAAGACACAAATTCCAACAAATTTCCGTATTATTTTATATGCAGATGTTATTAAAATTTCTTTGTCGGTGAAAAATGAGGGATTATTTAACTGCTTTTTTGTTCGGATGAAAGCATTTGGTATTGTTAAGACTGAGGCCTAAAGAAGAAGTGTGTTTTCCCATTGTAAATCATAAAAACTAACTGAAAAATATGGTAAATGTATAATTTTGGATTGATTTTAAAGTCCTCAATTAGTTTCTTTTAAGCGTGGGTGCATAAACCAACCCAGTACAAAATTAGCCCTTCGAGTAAGCCTTAAAGGTGATAGATGGAAAATCTAGGACGAGATGAGCACCAATGTGGTCTCATGCTCACACTGCCTAGCACAGGAGCAATGGCGACAGCCCATCAGGGTGATGGGCACGGCATCGTCCAAACGTCCAGTTGGGTGAAGGCACCTTAAGTGGAAGCCAGTTTGAGTAATGAACACAATATTTATTGAAGCTTACATTTTCTTCTAAATGCATTTTCTTGTCTGCAGCCAACGGCACATGAGATGATATGTTAGCCTGCAAACATATCGTTCATATTTGTACGATCGCTAGTGTTTGCCTCTAGCAGTGAATGCAAACACGTTTTCAAATGCCTGTTTAATGATTTTATGACCATTGCATGCCTGTTATTAGCTCCCCATTGTTTAGATGGCTAGATAAGCCACATTTTATGTCCCAGTCATGCGCGCACAGGTATGGTTATAAATATTATCGCGATGGCTGGTGACGTCCCGCCCCAGTGGTTGTGGCGAATCAGCATGCTGTTTTGCGAAATGAAGCTTATTTTAACACCCTTTCCAGTAAAAATAATGCATTTGTATGCTATGTAATAATTTGCAGGTTATAAAAAACCTTTTCTTTATTTCATCACGGAAACGAGTGATTGCAAATAAGGGACTAATTAAAGGTAGTTAGAAATAAAGCAAGACAACTTCTTGATTACTCGGTTAAACGGTGCTACTTCAAACCTTCTAAGACACCCTTCATTAGCACAGATTTAGGCACCATCGGGCTCTCCAATTTCGAAGGTAAAATAAATATCTCGTTAAATTTGAGGATCTAGCCTTTATTGACGGCGAAGTAAGGGTTAGTGCTAGAACCGCTTATGTGCAACCGGACTGGAAGACCACCAGCGCGTCGTGGAAGTCATGGTAGTCACAAACGTTGATAATTTAAGAGACATGGTATTTGACTGATGTCACTCGCACATGTGCTTGCACCGGTAATGGTGTGATATATCAGTGTCAAGCGTTACAAAGTCAATGTTCACAGTGGTTACAAGCCCCTTGGCAGCCGTCAAAGATGCTATCATTTTTAACTGAACCAAGTGTTCTATTCGAAGATTAAAATCATGACAATGTTCAATGCTAGCAGGAAGGGTGAAACAATTGTATTGCAAGATTGGCACAAAACGGTGCGCAGAATCAGTGAAATCTAAATATAAATGCTGTCGGCTTGCCAATGCACCGTGAAGGTGTGGTTAATAGCACAAACCGGAGTAAGAGCAAAAGGAAGTGGATCATGTAGTACACTCGTGGGCGCAGGGTCATAAGCCCTAGCTGCCATGACTACAGCAAAAGCGGATTTCTTTAGTGTCTGATTGACTCAGTGTTTGGATAACCTCTGCCAAAATGCGTTTATCCATGTAAACGGCGTAGAGGTTAGAGTCAGTTGTGGTGCACTGCCATGTCAGTCACCATGAGCGTCTTCTGACAAGTTCGAATGACATTCGCAGAATTCTCTTAATTGACTAAACCTCTTTTTGCATTAACCATGCTAACAATCCTACAGTCTCTGTCGTTTGTCTGTGGACCACTTTTGGACAGTCTGATAAACCGATTAGCTAAATCGCGATAAAATCGGTAATCGCATTTTACCTCCAACCAAATCATGCGCCTAATAAAGTTATATTTCGTTGCAACATTTTCCTTATTGTATAATTTTTCATTCGATAAGGAAAAATTACAAAGATTGCAACTGCAGCTTGACTTGACTTGAACAAGGGCCCAATTGGTGCCATGGGGACCACAAAGCTAACGGTTATCATCAACTGATGGCCCCCTAGCTCCACTGAGAAAGATGCTCAACGATGCAGTGGGTGTTGTAGGAAATGAAGTCGGTCTTTAGATTGGTATTTATGAAAGTGGCTGGAAAAGTATGTGACGACTCCCATTAGGTGAGCTCAAAGCAACGTGTATCTGTAGGAAAGCAAAAAACAACCGAATTTCCACAAACTATAGTCATAATTCGCCTAGACCTGTTTGCTACGAAGGTGTGTGTGGTTCCTGCCTGAGAGTGTCAATAGAGTGAGCACTCGATTGCCTCCTCCATTTTATACTAGCTGAACAGAATTTAGACAGGTGTATCTCGGTTGCTCAAAGGTAGGAAGAGTGGCACCGGGGAATAGAAGTGGAACAGTTAGTACGAATATTAGGCCCAACCTCGCTCCATGAGAGCGAATAAGTCTGTAACCCCACAGCCAATCATGCGCACATGATTGCCAGAGCAATTCGTTTAAGCCTAAACAAAAGGTGCCATGCAGAAAACATCTCCAAACGCAGTAGATTGCCTCAATGCCACAAATTTTGATGAGTTGCTTAATTGGTTTGAAGTGAATTTTTTTTTTGCAGCGCATTGCATTGTTTATCTCAGTCTTTCACAAAGTCTCGAAACCCAACATTAACATTGATAGTTGTGGCAGGTAATTTTGTACTTCTACTGAGTGACATTTTAGGGGTATGTTTGTGTGTTATTTGCAGCCTATACCATCTAATGCTGCACCTCCTGACGGTAACCCGGTGACTACATGCTCCAGGTGGTAACAGCGAAACCACATATGTTGGAGTTGTTGACACAGGTCATGAATTTGCTAATGAATACTGTGTTGCTAGGCTAGCTGCCTGGATGGCTAATGTAGACTTTGATAAGTCGGAAGAAGATGGTACAACGAATACTGCAATCTGATCAACCGATTAATTACCGGTTCCCACTCCAGCCCTACTCCATCAAATCGCACCCTTTTCGTCTGACTAATAAATTCGCTAACTAATTATTTTATCACTGACCAAAAGCTTCGACCTTTAGGAAGTGTGGATTTATTCAACTAAATGTAGTAAGTGTGTAAAGGCCAATCGCCGGTAAAAAGCCTTCATATGTGGCATAACATTGGTACAATGCATTTGAGGAAAGCCGATTACATAGCTTAATGATACAGAGCACAATGGCTATTTGCAGTTTGAGGATAGCTGTACGGAGGCAGTGAAATTGTCATCGGTTCAAATAAAGGGCGAAGAGGAGCAGCATACAGGATAGTTGACCAGCACCAACATTATAGCCGTTGCTTCCCTCGAAATTTGACTCAACAGACCCTCCAATGCTGTATTTAGCGATGGTCGGCGCAGTGAAATGTCGTAGAGGCTGTTATGGACCACGGTGGGAACATCAACGACCGACCTCTGACAAAATCCCAAATCTTCCAGACCCACTAACATATCATCAATGCTAGGATCGAATTCCTCTTTCGTCCATAAAATTGTAATAAAAGCCACCTTCAGCTCGTGGTCTTTTTGAACCACGGGTTGCGACATGCCGTCAAAAGTAGAAAGGTGACTAAGGGATGTGGCTTGCGCTCGACGTATCTTGCACTACTATTTTACTGCCATGGTCAGAAGGTCATATTGTAGCCCTCCAGCCCTATTCCTATCCCAATATTGCCCGTCGTCACTTTTACGGTAGTTGTGGTACGGTAAAAGTGCATAATCTTAGTACAACTTCGTTGGAACCTTAGACTTTTAAATTCCTTTTATTTTTAACTCGTGGGGGATCATTGAATGAATAATAGTTGATTAGAAGGCGAAAACAAATAGTCCATTTAAACGTATACGCATAGATAAACATCGGGAATTGGGAACATAGGTAAGAATGAGGAAAAATGTAACTGGTGGAGATCCAAGATGATTAAACGAATTACCTTTTTTCATCCATCAATGCCATTACTACTCAACGACTTAATTTCTCTGAAGTACAGCAGGCAAGACTATCGTGGTGACGATTGCACTTGCTCAAGGTAATTACAGCTACGACAACAAAATGACACTGAGCTGTAAACTAAACTTTCCTGTTGAAGAGGTGCAATGATGAAACTTAGGCTATTTGAGAAGTCACATTTTACCAAACCATTGGTAATGGAGCAGCTGCTTAACCTCGCCAACACCTCCTTCATCTGTCAAAGCTCTCCAGCTCCCCTCATACCTCTAGTCCCTATTGTTCCTTGTCTTGCTCCCAATGATCTGCTCTTGCATCCGCGGTTAATGGGATCGGATGGGCGGACGAGGCAGGGGAGGTGAGCAAAAGTGTTGCGATGGTAACAGAAGGGGAGAGAATGAAACGGAAGTTGGATGCGGACAGGCTAAATGAGAGTTGGCCTGTATGAGTATCAAGGTGAGATTGTTGTTGCTAGGTGGAGAGTACGTGAGAACGTTAGTACTTAACATCTGGTTTTATTCCGCTTGTGTGAAAGGGTGGTGGCCGTTAGTTCTGTTATTATATGAAGAGTTTCAGGTACATTTATCTGCCGTCAGCAAAGTCGATGACGAGATTAACGAGTGATTATACTAGACAACACAAACTTTATAACTAAAGGGATTATTACAAAGCTGTGTCATTTTTTTCAATATGTGATTCTTAAAGGCAGTTCCGCACAGATGGTTGAGAAACTGCCCCCAAAAAGAACTATAAAAACAGACCAGGTGGGGGTTGCACTGTCGGCACCTTGTTGAAGGCACGTCTAGCCAGCATTTAGGCCCACTGCACCCATACCTCTGCCGATTTTCATATCAGCCGCCTTTTGATGTGATATTGACAGGAGGCGGAAATATACTTGACAGTTGACAAGGTGGAATACGGCGGGAGGTGCTACAGTCGGAAGGGGAGGGAATTTAGTGCAGCGTACCCATCTTTAATTAGCCCGTGAAGTGGAAACATGGCGTCCGTTAATTCATATTCCCCTCTGCATAAGCTCAAGGTCGCCAGCCAGGAAGCACCTTTACTAAAAGATCCACTAACATGATTTATTTGAATAAGTACGTTGTCTTCCGCAACATCAACATTCAGCAATTCGAATAACCCTGTGAACCACTACATCCCGGCCGAATTACATCCTGCTCTCGGCTTGTTCATTAATGCATTTAATTTCTCATGTAGCCGAATTAGCGCTAACGAAGGTTGTGAATGTAAACTGCCAACTAAGTGAAAAAGCCATGAATAAATCAAAAGTAAACTTAATGGGGTGATTTTAGAAGGCAAGATCTCTTCTGCAAAATCTCTAGCTGCCAGTGACATATGCACCTCCTTCAATCAATCCTCAGCCTGACGTTCCACCTGGCTAAAGGACAAGTTATTCCGGTGATAGCTTAAGAGGCGGACAGGTGATAATCCACGAGTGGCAATCATTCGGCCCTTATATCTCTCCGGCTAAAAAGGCGGTGGTTGTGGGCAATCATACAAAACAGTCAGAAGTCCCGTTTTATCTAATCGCGCTGCTCGGACAGCTTATGTCTAGACGAAATGTGTTCCATTGAAGGGCGAATGACAATACAGGGGAAATAAAATAACCCTCTCTTTTAAAAACAAAAGAGATTTACAGTTATTGGTGTTGTGTATGCTGCCACGAAGCCCATTGTTCAGCCATGAGTCACATATTTTCGGTTCTTAGACAATTTATGCTTTACCTTGCATGAAAAATTTCTACATATGAAGTACGTGTGCTGCAACATTTTTGACAATTTGTTTACTCTTCACTTTGTTCCTAAAGGCACTTCATGCCTTGACTTTGAACATCTTTTTGTCGGTATGGCCTTCGCGCCTTTCCGGTAGACGCCCCAGTCATTCCATACATCAGCACTGCATTTTTTAGCTTAAGAATGTGCCTTTTTGCCTTCAGAGAAGCCTCGAAGGGCTGTATTAGTGGATTTAGAAAGCAAAAGAGACTTAGACTGATCTTTGCTTTTCGCACGAACTTTAACAGGATGAGCTAAGGTACTTTTAGTATCTCCAACTACTCCAATTTTGAGTTTATAAAAGGAAATAGTAATCTAGAAAGCATCCGGTAAAGTTCATGACGGTTCCTTTATGAAGGATATAAGCATGCGGACACGACTTAACTCCTCGGCTTGGATAGATAGATGAATACGAGTGGACAGCACTGAGGTAAAAAAAAAACCGAGCACAAGATCGTGTCGCTGTATAAGTATCATACTCCCTTATTATGGGTCGTCTTTAAGGTCAAGCCTTCATAGACTAGAAATAAGCGTTTGAGAAGATTTGCAATGTTCCCTCATTGGCAATGCAACTTATGGGCAAGATAAAGACCCCATAATCCATAAAAGTGTTAAGGGAAAATAGTGGTATTGCTACCATCTATTGTCTCAACTATTGTCTCCGAAGGTAGGCGTATTTAAATCCACAATAGCTTTCTCCACAGCAGTAATTACGCTCTGATGAATGGGCTAGTGGTCCGAGCAAGGGGGTATCAGGGATTACCCCTTAAAGAATGAGCGATCTATGTAGGGCCAATGCCGACGTTTTACCTGTTTTTTTAATTGCTTAGGCATATTTAAAGTTCCGCAATTGTGTATCTGATAGTCAAGTTTGCTTTCGATGGTGTTAGTACCTTGAACCTCTGCTATAAGTTGGAATTGCATTCTATGGACCACTACCATTACATTCCTATCCCTTATGAAAGACTCTAAAGGGCGAGCTTATCTAAACATTAGGCCAACAGCTTTTATACATAAACAGGCCAACGATAAAAGCGCTTGAGACCGTCCAGCTCTTGGAGTTTCGACTTATCTTGCGCTGAAATCTGATCAAAGGGGACAAACAACTGCTCCGCTTTATGGTGGGAAAGTGAATGTGAGTGTGTGTGTGTGCCTGAGAAAATGGAAATCAAAGGCCATGTCCCGAAAAATTCACACCCGAAAGATGATACGGATTCCCAGGCTATCCTTAATCTCTTACTCTAATAACAAATCGGAAGTACTTAATCAAATTTGTGTGAATGGAATTACAGCACTCTGAGGCTTACCAATGGCGAAATAGATAAGAAAATCCTTTATCAACTTACAGAGCAGTTGCAAAGTCACTGGCATTGCTCATTATCCAATTTGCCCCACGAATGTACAACGTTGGAGGCCCTGAGAGTTAAACATCGAGTGTCATGCAAATTACCTATGATTCGAGGGATTATAAAACCTCTCGTAATGCTTGTTATAGGGACAAGATGCTAATAGTCTGCTTACCTTTTTTGGAAACCTAAAAAGCCTAATTGCAAGGATGGGTAAATAGTAAACTGTTGACATTGGAGCCAAATTCTAGAGAGCTGGAAAAGTAAGGATAGACAACTATAACTAGCGCTTTGAGTGATTCAAATTACGCTGGAAATCTGATTTTAAAGTCTACTTGTTTAAGGAATAGGTAGAAAAATTATGCTTAGCTTTCACTTTATACGATGGACTTTGGATCTGGATTTGAATTTTTAGGCATCACATACGAAGCCACAGAACCACTAGAAATTGTCCATCAAGCAAAGATTACTATCTACCTCTCCACATTTGACTATTGTATATCGCGGCCAGTGTTTGGGTGCACGCAGCCTTCCCTTTGCAGTCTCTGGAACGCACAAAAGTAGTGGAAATTAATGCCTAACAATAAATTTGTCGCTGGAAAATTATGGTTGAAGTCATACCACATGGGAAATCATCGTTACTGGATGTCTCAAATTACGTCTGTTTAGTGTTGCATTATGGGGCAATAGAGCCTGTCAATAAGTTCAAAGCGTCTACCATAATGTTACAAGTTCTTTAACATTATTTGGCGATGCAGGACACCAAGCCATGTCGGTGAGGCCGCTGACATGACTTGAAGGCTAAGCCGCCATGTGGAGTCCCTACGTCGTCCATCACTGAAACCGAAAGTGAATCGTTGCACCGAAATAACTGCCTTCAGGGCATTAAATTGTCTTTACTAAGCTTTCAAATCGAAGTTTATTTGTACCAATTCTACACTGAATTTCTCAAAGGACTGTTACGAACGTGAAATACTCATTGCATGCAAACAACTAGTGATGCCACTAATCAGGTAGACTAAGAAAAGGTAGGCTTTTGCAAATCAACAACATTAAAATGCGGCAGTTAAAAACTACCGAATTCTACTTAAAAATTTCTTGACAAATGAAATTTGTTACCATGGTTTCATAAATATATAGATTAGCATCCAATATCAGTTATAGGGTAAATTTTATTCACCCTTTAGCATATTATCGGTTATTAGTTGTTGATTAGGTTGATCAAAGGTCAACGGGACCTTGGTGAATGAAAGATCTGCCAATCATGCCTACTACAGGTTAGTCAACCTGTAAGTTTTGGCATTTTTGCATGTATTTACGACTTCATTTTGGATCAAGCATTAAGGAACCTCTTGACCTCCCCAAAAATGATTGAAGGGAGACTTTTGAAAGATTGTATGCGTTGTAGTTCAGCCAGCAGCCATCGTATTTAAAATTTAGTCACTTTTGTTGGAATAGGGGATCGTTTCACTTTTGCACATCAGGTTACCGTTGCATTACACTTTCAGTAGCACCATTCAAGAAGGAAAAAGTATGTGATTGAACAAGTTCATTAAACTTTTATATCTAATTTCCTGAATCCCGGTCCCTTCTATATCCGGTTTTGAAATACTGAATTGCTGTACAGGTTGTTGGATTGTCAATTTCCCTTAGCTCACGCGTCAGGGCTTAAATAAAGTTGTTCTCATTTTTTAAAGTTACAGATTCATAGCTACATTCCCTTTACTTTGTTCTGACTGCTAAATGGAGTTCATACGCCTGCAGACCCTTTGTGCTTCTCTTGACCGCCTTGCACGTACAGCGAAGCCCCGAGTAGCTCACGCACACAAACCGAAGGCCACAGGAGGTTAGCTAGAGCAGGCGATTTAGCCACAACACCCAGGAAGCCAAGCAGTGCAGTGATTCACCACTACCGCTGCCGAAGCTCCAAGCCATAGCGCTGACGTGGCCATGCCGCGATGACTCATCCCATTTGGCGAGAGCGGCTGCGAGTGCATTTGCGCACGCGCACCCCCTCTCTCATTGGCTAACGGTGGTGTGCATGCGTTTCGGACGAAGGGGTGATTGGTTAGCCTCACTCACGGACGGTTTGTCTATTGGCTGGTGTGCATTTGCGAGGGCCGGGTAACTGGTGATGAGGGGATAGAATGTCTGTCTGCACGAGCCAATCGAAAAAGAAGTCGTGTCTAAAGCAGCATTAAGCTAGCGTCAGGTGAAAATAATGTTTCGCAGTTTAATAAATTTGTACAAAATTCAGTGTTACCACGTTTGGTTGATTTTTAGGAGTAATAAATTTTTGAAAAAAGCAACACTTTAACGAAACACCTATATGAAAAGGAAATCTCAGAGCTGTCACTAATTTGGGGTTTCTGGCTTTTATATATAAAGGACTTAGTTTAGCAGACATAATTCCATTCAGACCTATTGTAACTCTGTAGACAAGGTAGAAGAGACTTTTATTCTTTGATCTATGCATTAACATTCCACTCAAAAACTTCGCCGTTCACTAAACTTGTTACTCTACTTATTAATCTCAGTAGCAACACAAGTCACTGTTGCAAACCTAAATTTGTTAGAGAATGGCAGAATTTATTGTCACGAGACAATTATATCCACCCAAAGACAATTGCTTTTGATGTTGCGGTTGGTGGCGACGCTGTAGTGCGGGTATATAATTTATCTTTTTTTGGCATTTTAATTTCATCAGTATCTTCTCCAGCTGATACACACCAAAACTGCAAGCCGCACGATAAGTGCTAATTAAATCACTTTCTTTTTGTGCCACAGGTAGTGCTTTTCGAAGAGGAAGACAGAGTTACTAATAATATAGTCGTTGAATAGGTTATTGGAAGCACGAGTGGTACAGAGGGTCTTGAGATCACGGAATTGTAGACAGTAAACTTATAACTATTTCTATGCCTTTTCACAACCTTAGCAATAAATCTCAAAATAACCATCGGTTGCTTGTAAAGCGTCTATCCATGTATTAAATTTGCCACTTGCTAACAAAGAAACCAAGTGTTACTCATTATTTTTCAAACTCCTGAAGGACATAGGTAGATGAATTGCACCGCCCAATTTGGGTAGCCTATGGGAATAAGAATCCACCCTACCAACCCCACTCAGCTATCGCACTAACTATTACAAGTGGAAGCTACCATTACTGCGTGACAGTAACAGCGTCCACACAAGCACTCATCTTCATTTTGGCAGCAATGAGTTTGCTTTACCGAATCTTTAATGTTTATCTCGGAGTTCCCACAGCCCTCCTTGGCATACTCACAAGTTTTCTTTCGCTAAGCCTCTTCTGGAAGGATTCGACAACCTTCTTAGGAACTCGCATCCTTCTTTTTAGTGTTTCGGTCACTGACATTGGCTACCTGTCTCTTCACAGCTTTTACCATCTCACTGAAGACCTAGTTCCAAATTCATTTTCAACACAATTAACAATCCTTCTTGCAATCGCCTTCTACGGTCTAAATGTCTTCGAGATGGCTCGCAACTGGTTGTTAGTGGTGGTGGCACTGGAGCGCCTTTTATTTTTCCTACGTCCAAACGATTTTCAACAGTGGTGGACACCAAGTGTGATCGGAGGAGCAGAGGTGACAGTGATAGTGTCGGTACTGTTGGTAGGGCTCCCATCGCTCCTATACAAACTTCCTAATGTGTCTCCAGATGATATGAGGACCTACAAAATGGCGCATATCCTTGTGGAGTGCTTCTTGATGGCGATTCTACCCATTACGTTAATGATTTTGCTCTTTTTGGCTACAAAAATGCAGGTGTGATAACTAGATCTAATGAATTATGCTTTTTAAGTAGTTGCTTAAGAAGGTCTTGAGTTAGGTCTAGTTGTCTTAAATGCTCCAGAAGGTGCATGAGCCTGACTAATACAGTATTCAGAATTTGCTCTGCTGTTCTTTCCCATGTAAATGTTACTAAAGCAATAATTCTATCACGATAGGTGAATAAGGCATCTCAGAAACACATTGAAATATGCAATGAGACCAACAGTAACGCAAAACGGGTGATGAGCATCCTACAGACGATCATGGCAACTTTCACCGCGTTTGCAATGCCCTATTTCTTCTCTAGCGTGCTTCACTTTTACTGTCAGTACTATCAAGTCTGTACCTCGGCAATCATGATCACTGTGGAGAATGGAGTGAGCGCTGTCGCCAACTACTTCTCCATTATTACCTCCACCTCAAACTTTTTTGTCTACATTCTTCAGTCCCAGAGATACCGTCGACGCTTGGTTCACATGCTTCATCTGCAGCAATATCGGTGGTTTCGGACACACGGCAACGGAGATGTGGAATAGATTCAAGATGTGCGTGGAGATATTAATGACGGCAAAAGAAGTGGAGGTCGTGGTCGAAGTGACAGAAATGATAACAATATAAATCTACAAATTGTGCTAGCATGTAAGGGCTTTTAATCCTTTTCATACTTTAACATTAAAATAGCGACGTAAGAAGAATAAAAGCAAAAATAAACAACATGAGGGTTGATAATTTACTTTCTATATATTTTACATGGCACTCAATCATTTGACTTTGCAGAACCTTGAGCTATCCCTGAAAAATGCAAAGTTGTAATGATGGGAAGAACTATGCACTAATGGCGTTTAGAAGGGTTGAAGGAGGTTAAAGATAGTCAAGGGGCCCTACTGACGGGTGGAAGAACAGTTATGGAGAATTAAATGCCAGAGCAAGCAAAACAGAGTTTATGAAGCACCAAGGTATCGCAATGCCTTAAGTAGGCTAAAAGAGCAAAAGGCACATTTCCTTTCTTTAAATTGCATTGTCAGCAGTAGAATGAACAGACGCTTGTTCAACTCCAGCATCCATTTTTAAATGACTTAGTTGTCAATTCACTGCCTTCAGAAACTTCTGTTAAGTTCGCCTTTACGTAAAACTTTAGTTCATTACTAAAGCCATGGTCGATTACAGCCGGAGGTTGATGTAGACGGGGTTTGAGAGGAGAAGGTGCCATTCTTTGTTTACCTCATCTAAAAAAGGGCTAAAGCCTAGAATTTGTGAAAATAAGTTGTGTTTGAAGTTTTCATGTTGAAGGTATAATTTTCATCCAAAATCTAGAAAAGCATTATGGATGGCTCAGGAGGCTATTACTTTCCACACTCATCTTTAACAATACAACTGGACTTCACGCAAATTAGGGCTCTTTAAGTGACATAGCTTAGAAACTCAAGAGGTAAAGACTAAACATAACACGAGGTGAATTTGGACAAATTTGGCTGTTACCGACATAAAGTAATAGAATGACCTTAAATAAAATGCAAGTGAAAGTAGATGGTTTTGCCTGCCAAAAAATGCGACCAGAAAAGTCAAAAGTCTCTCCATTTGGGTATTGCTCTACATTTTGCGTGACACGAAGGAGGCTATTTGGGGACCATAATTCGTGACTTTTAGGACAAGCCATTATTTTTGCCTCGGTGTATAAGGGCAAGTTTGACGATGGAGAGAATAAATCTCTGGGCTTTGCAGCCCTTTTATTGTCCATAGAAATACATGCTCTTAGTTGAATTGCTATTAGCCAAATAATAGCCTAACCAAATAATTAAAGTGCATTCCAACATTTGTTATTTTATTTTGACCCGCGTCCGACAATATGCGCACCTTATCCAGGCCGGGCTCCCGGTCCTCTTAATCGTCTACGTACCGTTTGGTGATGCTTTAGATCATAAATGCAGTGATTTGGTGGTTCGCTCACATACTCGGCGATGCAGACACCGCAACTTCAACATGTTAAACTTCCATTCTACGCGAATGCTTTCAGAGTATGCAAACATGGATTTCGGCTAGGAATAAAAGGTTTGGTGTACTGGAGAAAAATGCGATATTTGGCAAGGCTTCAAAAACAAGACTTCAATGCTTTGTGCCTGTGACGGCGTGGTGTCTGGCGTTTACTTTGGTATTCGTGTGGCCCTTGTACGCATGGGCCGCACTTTGGCTAAGCCCAAATTTAATCCCTTCGTGTTTCCCTAGAATACATACATTCTGTCTAACTTGATGCCTTTTCTACCTAATTGAAAATCTCGGGACGCTAAATTGGCAAGCAATTTAGATGTTTAAAAATTTACTAGGCAAACAACGGCTGTTACGATTATTCTACCGCCTTCATGGAAAATGAGCAGTTTGGAGCCTATCTAGCTTCTACCCAATGTGTTTGACTTCAGGTTAAGCCAAATCACCAAGTTAACAAGTCCCACTGGAATACAAGCAAACAGTCATATTAAGTTTTCTACTAATAAGTAAGAAGTCAAATACTGTTTCATTTTTGAAGCCGCCGAACACTTAAAAATCAAAACACTAGCTCCAAAAGTATGATTTACTAAAATTTTTTATGAAAACGTGTAGGTCAGCAGATTTATTTACTTGAAAATACTAACTTAAGCACGTATAAATAAATTTAATGTTAAGGGAATGGTAAATTAGTAATTAATTAATTTTAATTAAGTAAGGCAAAATGAGATAAAAATATTTGAAATAAGCAGCAAAAGAGTGTGATACATACTTAAAACATTTTATAATGATTGTTTGTTTACTCTACCCACCTTGGTTTCGGAATGAGGCGTGCGGATCCTGATGTCGGTGAATTCGGGAGGAAGTTGATTGTTCTCCTGGATCAGGCGTCTTTGGAGTCTGTGAAGGGTGGGGGAGGTAAAGAATACCAATTACTGAACCCCGATAAACATAAGGATCGGATACTGCGGTCGAATCGCGACATATCGACTGTCCGACCTGACATCACTCACCAGTGTTTACTTATGCTTCTGGACAGCCCACTAAACAGAGTTGGAATGCTCCAGGTAACTGCACCTACGAGTTTTAATTGGCTTTGTGCTACACTATTTTATGAACGCTGTGTATGGGAGAAACGCCGGAGAAATAACAGTTGTGGTTTTAGTCATCCTGAATCGTTCACATGCTGTTTCTTGAACATCATGTTGTAAAGTTCAGGGAAAGCGAGTGCCAACTCCTGTTGGATAGTGCTTACATGTCCTCTTTTGGTGACTGAATTGTACCATACTTTACTCCGGTTTTGGAATTGCAGTCCTTCCATCTTAGGTTTATATCCGAACTCACAAGAACATTATCATCGAGGTCAATCCAAAGATCCGGATTCCACGAACGTTCGACCGTTTCTGTGGTCTGATGGTCCAACTTCTTCACAAGCTTTCCATCCATGCTGCTGAAGGAAATCACGAAAAGCTGCTCAGGGTTGTGAAAAATCCCATCACTCGGTACTTCCCTGCCGGCTGTGCAAAGATTGGCATGTCCTTCACCGCAGATAAGATTGTACCTCCTTCTGAAGTCCCCTCCATGGTCCAGCTAGGCACCTCGGAGTCGATCGTGGTTGTCATTGGAGCAATGGCCCATGGCTCGGTCGTTTCTACGGCTGGCGACTTTCTCGACGATGTGGTATCAATTAGTCGATTCCCGCTTTCCGCCGCTCAGGTTTGCTCTCGATTGTGCACTGCATTCGAGGAATCTTGGGGTGCCGAAAAATTCGAACTCCCTCTGCCATCGGCCTGAGGGGGAATGTATTTCCCATTTCTGGTGTACATATGTATTCTCTTTTCATGCTCGTTTTGCTTTACTCAGCTAACACACTCCTTAAGGTTGTTCTCTTAGTGCCTTCGTGTACGCCTTTTAGAGACCAACCGAGTCATCGTGTGTGATATTAACTGGTCTTCTTCCTCTCGTTCTGTGAGGAGGAAGTGGAGTCCAATTTAGTCCCCACATCTATGGAAAGGGACTTTTGGGACATGGTTTTCACAATTTCATCCTGGTCTGTCCTCATGTCATGTTGCGTGCTCGTGAGGGAAACGCCAGGTAAATCTAACTTCGCCCTTCTTCTCGTGAGTGGCGTGACATTTTGTTTCATCTTTGAAGTGTGATCGTGGACAACTCAAGAAACTAGAGTGAGCTTGCCAATTTGCAGGGCATGGGTCTCGAAACTGCTGCAAATTTTCTAGTCGTTGCTTTTTCGTGCAGTCAGCACGTCCTTGCTTAGGTTTAGTAGAATGTGTGTGCTTTTCTCAATCCACACGTCTTGAATTGCCTTTTGCAGAAGCCGCTTAATGACTTCTAGTGCATCAGATGTCGGGGCCTAGCCTCATGATCCTCCGCTGAAGTTGTTTGGATTACGATGGATTGTGGTGAAAGCGCTCGAGGTCTGGTCTGTCGCTCATCGATGGGTCTGGGCCTTTGAGGGCTCGGGGGCTTTGTTGACTTCGCTTTGATTCGTTTTGCTGTTTCTCTGGTACATTGTTCTTGGCCAAGCTTAGGTTTTACGCAATATTGTGGGTGAATTGAGCGTGGCTCCTCGTGGCTACTCTACGGACTGCGAAGTTGGATGTCACGATTGTCTCGTGAGCTATGGGTTGCTCTCACGTTATTTGGAAGATCAGAGAGCAGTGTCGGGTAATTCAGCTACAGAGTTCACTGAATGACAAACATCAACGAAGGGGCGTGGGTGTTCGAAGTGTTCCGAACAATAGTGGGTGGGCGGTTTGGTAGGGTGCTGCGAATCGTGCTAGATGTTGTGGATTCTGGAGCATGGTTGCGTGCGACGTCAGCGTTGTCTTAGGGATGGGTAGGCGCGCGTGGGCTCCCCGTTATACCTTGATTAGAGAGAGACGGTGGGTGAGTAATGTGGGTATGGTCTTCCCCTGGGGCAGTGACTCCCGAGTGGAGGTAGTTGGGATTGGCAGTTGCAGCCAAGGTAGAATGGTGCAGGCAATCGGGTCGATCGTCTCCGGCGGCTGAGTCGGGTCTTGCACTGCGTTTCCTGGTTTACTGTCTGCCACGCGAGTAGAGAATGATAGCTTTGACGAACACAAAAGCCGCATCAATTTGACAGTATGGGTTCGGCTTGCTGCCTTTCGAGCTGCCAGATTGAGGACGACTAAATTGGTTTCGGCGCTCAGAAGGTGGATACGTCTCGTTTGTCTCTGTCCTCCTAAGTGGTTTAGGTGCCGTCAAATGTTTACTATGACTTCAAACCTTTGAGATATCCTGGTAGATCTTGTTTTCGCCGTATGCTCAAGATGCGTTTCGTTCAGGAGTTGTATCCTCTGCTTCAAGGCGTTGCTGTAATGGTAGTGGAAGACGAATTTGATTTTGAACTGAGCCTCTAATCAGAATGATAGGTATGGAGTCAGTGAGACCACGGACTGTTAGTGGGACCATGGTATGATTGCTATCCACTCTGTAACAGCTTTACTTATGTGTTATTCTGGAATGAGTCCGGCAATTGGAGTAATAACGGCTAACCAGTTGGAGCAGTTAGTCCTGTAGATGCGACCAGTGCCTAAATGCGTGTCACTAGCGCAAAAGTGCGGTGCATGCACAATGTTAAGAAAAGGTAATTTTTCAAAGGAATGAATTTGACTGGAACGAAGGAAAGAGACGGAAAGAATAGCTCCATCGTTTGCTTGGAAGCACTTCAAACGTTGTCCCTCATTCAGGGACTCTTTGTTCAGTAAAGTGATTTTATGCCTAGCAATAGGCGGAAATATTGGTCCAAAAAACTTTATTCTAAATGTAATTGCCAGAGGGAATAAAGATCTAGATCCAATTAAACTATTAGGAGGGGGTAATGAAGGCGTGGGTAGGAATCTTTTTAATTATAAGAATAGCCAATGAATGGCATGACTGAGTTGTGGGTATACACGGTCCTAATGATCGTGATGTGATGAGCCACGTAGGAGATTGCTCGAGAATAGGCGCTAATGGGAGACAGGGATGCCTATACAGTAAACAGCTTGCTTAAAATTCGATTCTGGAGCTTAGACTACTCAGAGGGCAATTATCCATCAATGAATGGTCTATAGATCCATGTCTCCTTCAACTTGGAAGGGAGTCTTGAGACGGATCAGCATTCTCAAGCATATAGCTTGGAATGGCCCGAATGTGTTACATGTGTACAAAGTTGGCAAAGTACAGTATCACAAAAGCGAGTAGTATACGGAATAGATGATTCGCCATGTTTACTTCTAGGGGTATAAGAGAGTTGGAAATAGGTAATTAGCAGAGTTCGTCCTGTAATAGGAGGTTGAATCTTTGAAGCGGAAGTGAACCAAGTGGTAGCTCTGACCTTATGGCCGCCTACCCAATGGCGAGAGGTGTACTATTGCCGTTCTCAAGTGACTAACATTCCGCTGGCGACTTCTGATATTCTCTTGATTTTAAAAATTCTCATAATGAGCGACATAATTATTGATTCTCCTTAATTCAATTTCGGCTTATAAATGGGGTTACTGCGATGATGACAGTCATCATTTGTCGATTACTAAGCTCATGTGGTTGTCACAAAATTACATACTGTATGTATGCACATTCAGGTACTCAAGATTGTATTGCCACAATATAACAAGACCTCGATATCTTGATGTGACTGAGAAACTAAATCTTAAAATTTGCCTGTGTGGTACTATGTTTGTGTGATTACCCGCTGTCTGGCGCCTGTACGTGTGGGCTTGCATTCGGGGCATGCTCGGCCCTAATTACTCCGCCGAGCTCCAGTTAATGCTCTTCTTCCTAGTGGAAAGTCTCGCGCGCTACAGTTCGCAGTGAAAAATGCTAATTATATGAGTAAATAACCCCTGTTATAGATTGCAGATCATTTTTGTTAATGTGATACTTGGTTTGTGTGGCTCCGTGATTTCTGACGGTCACTTTGGAATTCGCCTGGACCTCTGGGCGTGGCTCGGCTTTTGGGCTAAGCCAGAGTCTGTCCAAGGTGGTGCCTCTATCCACCTAGTGCGAAGTCTCGGATCAATACATTTAGTTTTAGGGGACCACAGGGGAATGTCAAAGGTCGCTAAGGCGACGATATGGTGCACACAAGTTTTAATAAAAAATATATACTTTTATAGGTGACTAAAAACTAAAATAGGTGTAAAATCCGATTTTTGTGCTATGTGGGAATGGTTGAACAAACTTTATTTCTTATTAGATCTAGCTTACTAAAGAAAAAATTTGTGCTATTTGATAATTTACAAAGAATATTTTTTACTTAGGTGCTAATATTTTATGTTTGTTACACTGTATCAGTTTCATGCCTAGTCATGCTTACCTTATTGGTAAGCTATGCTTCTGCAAATCTAAAAGCCTAATTGGTTCCCTCTCTAGGTCAGATTTGGTTGGGTCAACCTCGCCTTCACTTTCAACTCGTGCCTGGGTTTGGTCGTGTCTGCGGTAGTTTTCCTTGTTAGCATATTTATTTTTGCTTTTTTATCAGTTATACCCCGTTGATATTATATGGAGTGCCATTATCTCTCAATTAGTTTTACTATTGCACAGTTCTACCCACGTGTGTGTTAATTCTGGCTCTCTGCCGCCTCTAATTTGATTAAATTACATAATATCCTCTTTGATCTTTCTCCTCTGATAATTGCAGCAAAAATTATGCTTGTCGATGTCAAATGTAATTGATCTTGCGCTTGTCTCTGGCGCAAGGGTAATGCTGTGAGACCTTAATGATTTTTGCTATCTGTTTGCCTATAATGTAAGCTATTCGCATTCGTTGGCCTAGATAGGCAAGGTCCTTGTCGTTGTTCGCAAATAATACAAACTGTTGGCACTCTTCAGCTTATTGTGCAATTTTTTCCAACTCATTTGTGATAGTTCATTTCTGCGCTCTTTCTGTCGTTATAATTCAGCAAACCTTATTGCTTTCCAACCCCAAACAATGTCTTAACTTGTTTGTTCCGTGATATGCAAGCGAAACTAGTCTTCCTTCGTGTAACGATCTATCTTGTTTACCTAAATGCTCCTTTTCAATTTTGAAATGTTGTTACCAAATTCTTTATTATTTGGGCAAAATGGCACCATTTTCCCGTTTTTCCATACAACATTAACACCACTCCTAATGCAAGCCCTTTTTATATACTCAGTAACCAATCATTTGTGATTCACTCCTACAACTCAAAAAACGCCCTTAAGTTTGCATATTTTATGACCAAGGTATATGAAATTGATTTACAAGTTATTTGAACTTCTTTATATGCTTGTCGTCCATGCCCCAGTTTTTAGGATGAAAATGACTTCATATACCTTGATACATTCTCTCTTCACAAAGCACATTGCATCATGATTAACCTTGTTGCACCAAAAAGGAGGAAAAACAGTTTTGTACCGACATAATTTGCCGGAAACACCAGTGTTGAGATTGGACGCCATCACCGGTGTTGCTGCTACTTTTAGCACCGTTGATGCTGTCAGGAGTTTGATGTGAGACAAGAGCTTGTGTGCATTAGGTCGATGCAGCGGGACCATCTGTTAATTCGCCTGTCATGACCTCTGAGGTGTGGTAGAAGCACATATTATTTTTTTTAGATTGACTTAACATGGGTCCCCTCTCACTATTGTAGGATACCCCAATTTGGTTCTTTTATTAAATCTTGACTTAGCGGTATCACCGTAGTGCTCCAAATATCTAAAATAATGACTTAACAGGAATCGAACCCATGCGATCCAATCTAGAGCAGTCGTAAGGGACGTGGGCGTTTTGTAGACGTACAGTAAGA